GAATTACATTTTTAATCATCTTAGAATGCACTAGGCAATGAAAACTCTCAAAAGAATAAAGGTTATGATAGTTTTTCTTCGCATTTATGTTCTCAATACCAATGGTAAGATGGAACACGCCACACGTCATGCCACACATGTGGACAACATGCACCTTAACATATCACCCATGTGTCGAAAATTCATAAAATTTTGAGAAAATGGAAGTCCAACATGGCGTGTTGGATATGTGTTTTGAGATCTCTAAATCCCATAATGGTGAAAGAAGGAATACCGGTAATCGCTCTAGACTTCAGTTATTGTTCTCGATTACATTTATCTTCAATTCTATCTTTATGTGCGAGTGGAAAAAGTTTGGGCAGATTTTTGAAAAATGTGTAGTCGTTTGCGGACCTTCATGAAATTGGGAGCTTAATACACTGATTTAACGTTAGGAACGTTAGAAAACATCTATTCATTGCAAATGTTGGTTTCTTTTATTTTATTTACAATGTGTGTGTAGGCTACTCAAGGTGTCCGATAGGCGTACGAAGCCGACACCCCAACGCCAACGCCAACGCAAGTTCCAGTGCCAGTGCTAGAATCATGTTGGTGCTTCCTAGGTTTCGAGGGTGATGGAGGATTGGAAGTCAATGTATCAAGGGGCCAGCACGAAAGGGCCAACTGATTTCTATATAGTGATGAAGGTAATAATGGACGATGAGATTGTGAGCTGTATGGCATGGGGATTCATAAGAGATACCTATCATTGCTTCTTCTACAGGAAAAGAAGTTCATAACCAGAGGCCTTCTACCTCCATGAAGCATTGCTCTGTCAGGCTTTCACCCAGCACGGAAAACTTTCCACTGCTGCCTTCGCCTCTCGGACCAGCTACTTGTCCTGTTTGTAGTAGTTGTCACCAATTGTCGGCTCATAGAAGTAAGAAACACACCACTTCCATAAATCAGAGTAAGACAAGGTTAGGACCAACGAAAATAAAAAAAAAAAACTATCTCACTCTTGCCGCTTTGCATTTACTTAGAGTCTGTTTGGCCTCCAATATTTGAATTTATAATGGAGGGAATAGTATTTTTCTGAAGATTGTGTGGTTGAAAAGTTTTTGATTTAAGTGTAATATTATTTTATTAAAGATTGTATGGTTGAAAATAGGAGAGAGAGAAAATTAAATTAAATTGAAGAGTTTTAAAGGGACTTATTGAGAGAAAAAACCTAACAAGAGGATAGGAGGTTGGTGAGTTGACTTTCATTAATTATGTTTCTTTCTCTTAGAATGTAAGTAATTTACATGCTGAAAACTCTCACGAGATAAAGCTTGTGAGAGTCGTTCATTAAATTCCATCGCCCTAGTTCTCAATACAATTGGCAACATAGGACACGCCACATGGCTTGTCGGACATATGTCTAACATAAAGGTTGAAACCCAGTCCTGAGGGCCCTCACCGTCCCGTTCCTAGAGCTTTGTGAGGGAGGTAAATCAAGGGATGTACCTCAGCAGGTCAGGGAACAAAATCTGCCTGTACACTGCGCCTCCAAGGAGTCCAATTCCATGTCTCAGGAATCGAACCCCCACACTGCGGCTGCCAGCAAGGCGTGAGATAACCTCACTCCTGTCCTTTGCACCACTAGGCTATGCCCCGGGGGGTGGACATATGTCTAACATGTATGTAGGGCATGTTAATCATGTATATCAATAATTCAAAAAGAAATAAAAAAAAATAGGACATGTGCCAGCACGTGCACGAGGCATACATGGCTTTTTCTTATCACAAATTCACAGGCATATATGTCCACATGATCAGTAACGTTAAATTTATAGAGATTAGATAATTTCATTCTAGAAGATTTATCTGCAATTTTCTCTTTTTTTGGATCAATGACAAATTTCTTCTTGGGGTGATTGGATACTTCCATTTTTGAGATTTATCTGCCATTTTCCCGAGAGGTTGGATTAGAAATTCTTTACTACCTCTAGGGGATGAATTGCATGGTATTTTGTGTTGCTACAAGAAATATCAACCTATAAGACAAACAACAACCTTATGCCACTATATTCATATGAAAGATCAAGAAAATCGAAGATTTTTGTGACACGGCCAGTTTTGTTCTTTATGATAATAATGTTATTAAAAAGTGCAGAATATAGAAAAATATATTTAAGAACAAAACAGGAAATTAACAAGTATGAGGAAAAGGAAAATTTGAATCACTGATGCGAAGAAATTAGAATTGCAAGCCGAGGCCTACATGATGTCCTTAAAACAAATTCGTCCTTTAAAAGTAAGTGTTGTTTGTAGAGACGGATTTGGGGGGGGGGGGGGGGGGGGGGGGGGGGCCCCCCCCCCCCCCCGGTCCAGTCCTAGCCCAAGTCCAAGGTATTTGTGGGAATTTTTTATTTTTTCATTAAAGCAGCCCAGTTAAACATTGAGTCAGCCCAGTTTGCTTCTAGTCCACTCCAGCCAAACTGCCAAAGTCCAAACTCCATTCTTTATATATTCTTTACAGCCCACCAGCCCAATAAATGCCAAAGTCCAAACTCCACCAATTTTTTAAAACCCTCATATAATCATATTGCCTGAAAATTGAAATTGAAAATCTCTCTTCTTCGGTCTTCTCATTCTACGGGTCCCGCCGTGAAGCATCAGGTTTGTCTCTTTTCTCTTTCACTTTTTGTCTTTATATTATTATATATAATTTTCTTCTTTTCATTATTTTATTTTCAATTTTTGCACTATATCATAATATGTTACGGTTTAAGTTGGCAGTGACTTTAGGGCTAAGAAATTGAAATTGAAATTGAAATTGGAGAGTGGAGGGTTTTTTCATTTGTGAATTAATTTTAAATTCTTTGAATGAAACATTTTGCTATATAGTATATATTAATTTTATTGGTTGTATTTATAGAGAGTTAACTTTTTATGCTTTATGTATAATCTTTAGAAAAAATAATTTATTCTTTAATTTTTTTTTCTCAATTTACTCTGCCTGTCTACCAATGCCCAATGGGGAATTTTCAAATTTATAAGCATGTTGATTGATGGTTGTAAGTTGTAACAGGTTGTTTACTTGTTTATGTGTAGAATGAAAAATTGTGTTGTTTTTCTCCCTTATTTTGGTTATACAACTAACTTACTTCATTGGTTATACAACTAACTTAGTTAATTATAATTAATTATTCTATTAAGATCTCCAAGAAATTTAATTAACTAACTTAACAAATAAATTATTCAGGTTGAACAATCTAAAATTTGATCAAGTAAAAGTGGACCCGCGTGAAGATTTTGCATTATATTATTGTTGCCTTGTCTCATTCTTTTTGTCTCCTATTTTCAGCACTTACAAATGGAAGATCAACATTCATCAAAGAGAGTAAAGACACTATTTTCATTCTTTAAAAAGACTGACGATCAATCTAGTGAAAGTATATCTCCGAAAATTGAACACCCCTCAACCTCAACTCCCATGCAACATCCTCCAAATTCAACTCCAGAAATACAACATTCGTCAGTCTCAACTCCGAAATTGCAATCATGTACTAGTATTGAACGGGATCTGGGAAAAAGAAAGCAAATATTTGAACATCCTGCCAATCTACGAGATGAGATTAGAATTGCATATATAAAAGTTGGACCTTATCAATTGAAGCTTGAGGAGTATCCAAGGGTAGAAGGAAAAAAACAAGCTCGTCGCTTTCAGAAAAAATGGTTCACAGAATTTTCATGGTTGGAGTATTCTTCTACAACTGAAAAGGCATATTGCTTTTACTGTTTTCTTTTTCAGAAAGAGGGTAATTCTTCTGCCTGTTCGGGATTGGTTACTGAAGGATATAATAAATGGAAGAGGGTGAAAGATGGAAATAAATGTGCATTTCTTGTTCATGCTAATCTTAGATTGGGATCAAGTGGCGGTAAACCTTTTGCTGCAGAAAATCAGTTTACTTTCTCTTTGCGCAATGATGAACATGTTGAATATTCTCGAGGAATATGAACTATAGAAAATATAGTTATTTAAGGCTATACGGATAGTGCATGACGATGGATCATTGAGACATAGTTAAGGACTTTTGTGAAATTTCATATATTTCATTAATATAAATTCTAACTTGTACACCAAAGAATATACAGAGAGAGAACAAAATAACTTCCTAAGGTTTTGATAAGCAACCGACCAGAACAACACGATTAATTGCTGTATTGAGAAGTGTTTCTATTGAATGATTCAGGAATTACAAGAAATTAAAGACTAGTAAGCCTATAGAAGGCTGTAAACAAGAATTAGACCCACAAACTACTCAATTTCTGCCTACCGAGCTCCTGCCTCACTATTCTTATTTATAGACTTTAACTAACAGAAAGTTGTTACTCCATATTCCCTCAACAGAAATTAGTTTACCCTTTTCCCGCCTCCACTTGCGAGACCTGCTTCTTTGCCCTTCTAGAATAAGTGTAGTGAATCGGTGGCTTAACATTACCCCCGCCTTTCAGAGATACCTTGTCCTCAAGGTGGAAGTCGGGGAAGTGTTGCAAGATTGATTCAGCTAATTCCCAAGAGGCTTTAGATTGGGGCAGACCCCTCCACTGCACAAGCACTTCCATACTAGTCGGTCTGTGACGGGTTTCTAAAACCTTTTCAGGTTCCACGACCCATTCCAAATTACCTGAAAGATGTGGGGAAAACTCCTGGCTTGCACCTTGTGCCCCAAGCACCTTTTTAAGTTGCGAGACAAGGAACACAAGATGTATAGCCGTAAAAGGTAGCAATTTCACACGATACGCCACGGGCCCTATCAGTTCTTCAATCTCAAACGGACTGAAGTATTTAGGGCCCAGCTTCTCATTGGGTTTTCTTGCAAGGGAGCAGAGGCAATAGGGCCAGAGTTTGATGTATATCAAGTCTCCAATACTCAATTGGACATCTCGCCTGTGACGGTCCGCTGACTCCTTCGTCTTTTCCTGGGCATGATGCAGATGAGATTTCAGCTCCTCCAACATATGATCTAGGCCTATAATTGCTGCTCTATTGATTGAATTGTAGTGGTCTGGCTATCGTAACGGATGGGTGGGGGAGGGTCCCTTCCATAGACTGCTTTGAAAGGTGTTGTATTTGTAGAGGAGTGGAAGGTGGTGTTATACCAGTACTCTGCCCACGGAATCCAATTGCTCCAGCTCTTTGGTTTGCCATAGGTTGAGCATCGAAGATACATTTCCACACACCAATTAACCACTTCAGTTTGCCCATCTGATTGCAGACGGTAAGCTGTGCTTTGACGGAGGATAGTCCCCTGGAGGCGAAAAAGTTCTGACCATAAGTGACTAAGAAACACTTTGTCAAGATCTGAGATAATGGATCTTGGAATACCATGGAGTCTGACAATTTCCTTAATGAAGACTGCAACTACTCCCTCTGCAGTAAAGGGATGTTTCAGTGGCAAGAAATGGGCATACTTACTAAGGCGATCAACCACCGCCAGCAGGGAATTATAATTTCCAGATTTTGGTAGGCCCTCTATGAAGTCCATTGAAACATCTTCCCATATAAGAGCGAAAATGGTAGGGGCTGCAAGAGGCCTGCCGGGGAAAGTGCAAGACTCTTACTTTGTTGGCAAATCGGACATTCTTCTACAAACTTCTTAATGTCCCGTTTCATCCCCACCCAATATAGCTCACTGGTAAGTCACTTATAAGTGCGGAGGAAACCTGAATGCCCACCGGCCAAGCTACTGTGGAATTCTCTCAAGAAAATCAAAATTAGTGGGGAGGATTGGGGAAGTGCTAGACGTCCTTTATAGAGTAACTTCTCGTGCTCCAATGAGAAATGTGGATACACATCTGGGTCTTCCTGCGGCCCCTTTTTTATTTTAGAGAGGTATGGATCCCTATGTACTTGTGCATCGAGCAACTGATTGTCCACAACACCTTGGCTGGTTAAGGTAGCTAACTCAACCGAGGGATTTAGGCGCGACAATGCATCCGTCGCCTAGTTCTCCATTCCAGGACGATAGTGGATCTCCAAATCATATCCCATCAATTTTGTCACCCATCGCTGGAAATTCTCAGGAATTACACGTTGTTCCAACAAGTACTTTAGGCTTCATTGATCAGTACGCACAACAAATTTTCTCCCCAACACATAATGCCTCCATTTTTGGACGACGAGGACAATGGCCATTAATTTCCTTCATAGATGGATTTATGTAGAGATTTTTCGGATAATACGTGATTGTAATAGGCAATAGGGCAAACTGAACCACCCCTAACCCATGGCCCGAGGCATCTGTCTTAATAATGAAGGGCTTTGAGAAATCTAGAAGAGCTAATATGGGTAATGCCGTCATAGCCAACTTCAGTTTTCGAAAGGCAGTTTCTGCATCATCGTACTTGAAAGCATCCTTCCATAATTGTTGCATAAGAGGCCATGATATTGCACCATAGCCAGCTACAAACCTCTTATAGTAGCCAGTCAATCCCAGAAACCCGCGAAGTTCCCGAATGTTAAGAGGGGTTGGCCATTGTACCATTGCTGCTTTCTTGCTAGGATCTGCTGGTACTCCTTCAGCTGAGACGAAGTGCCCCAAATATTCTATCTGATGCTGCCCAAAGTGACACTTTTTTGCATTAGAGTAGAGATGTTTTGCTACCAAGATTGTCAATACCTCCTGCAGGTGTTGCTCATGGGCTTCCAAACTCTTGCTATAGATCAGAATGTCATCGAATTAGACCAACATAAATTTCCTCAGCTGTCTCCGAAAGACCTGATTCATCAGAGATTGGAATGTGGCTGGTGCATTAGAGAGGCCGAAGGGAATGACCAGGAACTCGTAGTGCCTCTCGTGAGTCCAGAACGCCGTTTTATAAACATCCTCCTTTTTTATCTGGTGGTATCCCGACTTCAAATCCAGTTTGGAGAAAATTGTAGCACCATATAGCTCATCCAGCAGTTCATCAATGATCGGGATGGAGAACTTATCTGGAATGGTTGCTTTTTTTCAGGGCCCTGTAATCCACACAGAACCACCAACTCCCATCTTTCTTCTTCACCAGTAAAATAGGGCTGGAGAACGGGCTGACACTAGGCTGTATAATTCCAGTAGTTAGCATCTCCTGGACCAATCGTTTAATCTCGTTCTTCTGAATATGGGGATATCTGTAAGGCCTCACGTTAATTGGTTCAGTCCCCCCTTTAAGGGAATGGCATGATCAATATCACGGCTTGGGAGAAGCCCTGGTAGTGTAATAAACACCTGTTGATGTTGCTGCAATATCCCTTGTATCCCTGCAGGTGGTACTCCCCCTCCCTTGCTGATTTCGATTTCACCCAAAGGGTCCTTCCATTCTACCAATACTCCCTATCCTTCCTGCTGTAAGGTTTTCACCATTAACTTTAAGGATATCCCTGATTTTTGAAGGCTGGGGTCCCCTTTTAATAGCCTCACTGAATTCTCCAACTGGAACCTCATCGACAAGCGTTTCCAGTTGACCTCAATGTCACCTAAACTTCCTAACCATTGCATTCCCAACAACATATCCGTACCTCCTAACTCCAGCGGTAAGAAATCCTCCACTATAGTTAGCCCTTGGGGTCCCAGAGCTACTCCCCTACATATCCCCTTCCCTTGTACGGATTTACCCGACCCCATTACCACTCCATAATTAGTCGTTGCTATTGTCGGAAGATCTAATTTCTGAACCAGCTCAAGGGATATAAAGTTGTGGGTTGCACCACAATCAATTAATACTGTCACTCCACACCCTCCTATAACCCCTTTTAGCTTCATCTTCCCTGGTGTAGTCAAGCCGACCACAGAGTTGAGTGATAGTTCGACTGTGTCTCTTACCTCGATGGGCTGCTCTTTCTCCACCCAGACATCCCCTTCTTCCTCGTAACCTCTCTTTCTTTCGACCAGCAGAACCCACAACTCATAGTTCCGACATTGATGGCCGGTCACATACTTCTCGTCACACTTAAAAAACAACCCCTTGTCATGCCTGAGCTGTCATTCAGCTTCGGATAACCTCTTCAATAGCCTGGTTGTGGTCGGTCTCTCTCTGACTGTGATGGTCTTCATTGGAAATCTCTCAAATCGCCTCGCATCTGCCCGACTTGAAGGGAAAGTGGGCTTAAAAGACTTATGGTTCATGGGCTCCTGGATTTTTTTAGAATCAGATTTCTATCTTCAATTTTTCGGGCCACCTCCATAATTAGGCCCAACCCCTTTGGACCCAGTAGCCTCACTTCAGCCCTTATATCAATTCTCAGCCCATTAAAAAATGTGTTTTCTAGCACTTCGTCAAAGATGCACTTCAGGGTAGCGGCAAGCAACTTGAATTCTCGATGGAATTTCGCTACTGTCCCCCTTTGTTTTATAGCCAAAAATTTTCCACAGAGGTTTCCCTCTTGCATAGGCCGAAAACGCAACAGTAACGCCTCCCGAAATTGTTGCCATGATTGGATGGGTGATCTCGCTTCTGCCCATTGAAACCAGGACAGTGCATCTCCATCCAAGCTGACCGCCACTGCTCCCAACTTCTCTCGTTTGGTAAGCCCATTTACTTCAAAATACCTCTCTGTTCAAAACAGCCACCCATCTGGGTTTTCTCCACTGAAGATGGGCATCTGCAATTTTCGCACCCTCCTCCAACTATCTTCATCTCTGCTCTGGAAGGTGTTCGTTGAGGGCCTCCCAAAGCTAGCTCCTTCTATTCCTTCCTGCCATTTCTCTGGTTCGTCTACATGCTCGACCTTCTCCACTTCTGATTGCACTGATCCTTCCATCACACTAGCCTTTCCCTCTCTCTTGGAGTTTTGGCTCAGCCCTTCCACTTTGTGTATTAGAGCTGCCACGTTCTGGACAAGCCACGCATCCCTTCCAACGTCTTCTCCAAGCCACGCATCCCTATCCTCATCTCCTCCATGTCCTTCTCTACGGTGTCAACTCTACCCTCTGTCTTTTTCTGTGCCATGGAAAGAAACTGCTCTGATACTAGTTGATAAGAAATTGACCAGAACAACACAATTCATTGTTATATTGAGAAGTGTTTCTATTGATTGATTCGGGAATTACAAGAAATTAAAGATCAGTAAGCCTATAGAAGGCTGTAAACAAGAATTAGACCCACAGACTACTCAATTTCTGCCTACCAAGCTCCTATCTCACTATTCTTATTTATAGACTTTAACTAACAAAAAGTTGCTACTCCATATTCCCCCAATAGAAATTAGTTTACCCCTTTCTCGCCTCCACTTGCGAGACCTGCTTCTTTGCCCTTCTAGAATAAGTGTAGTGACTTGGTAGCTTAACTGGTTTCCTCCTCGAGGCAAGCTAGCCATATGGGCTTTAAGCTCTTAAAATTTTTAACTACGGTACGATAAAATGTAACCATATCCTACTCAAAATTACATTGTTGTTTCTGTGTCCGCGACATGTATTACCCGAGTTGGGATTGCCATTAATAGAATTTCATAATTTTGAGTAGGATTAAAACATAAAAACATTCATTTTATTAGTTTTTCTTCCTATGACAGTGCAACTAATTGATCTTACAAACATGTATAGGAAAAATACTAATAAAATTACTAATTGAAAAAGTGGCTAACTAGCGCACGAATGCTTCACTATATGTCTTGTCTGTTTTCATACATATAAATGGCTTCACTATCTGATTCTGCTATCCTATTTTCTTTCAATTCCTTTCAAGTTGGCTAAGTAAATATGCATTTGAATGAAAGCAACACTAAAATGTGTAAATGAGAAAATTTATAGTGACTTGAATGTAGCTATATTATTTGCTAAGTGATTCATACAAGAAGAGAAACCTTAAGAAATCAAGATTCTTCTAGTAAACAGTTTTTATAGGAGTATTTCTCCATGTTCGCAGCGTTCATTAAAAAGAGGATAGTTATCCTCAAGAGTCCCTTCATAAGCCACAAGAATACCAATCGCCTTTACTCCATTGGAGTTCAAGTGAGTGGCGACAACAACCTTCTGCAACTATATGCTTATGAAAGATCAAGAAAATCAAAGATTTTTGTAACGCATATGGGTACATGCAAGTGAAGACAAAGGTGCTTGTCTTTTCTTCTATTTTTTTCTCAAAAGGAAGAATTTGTAGATTTTGCTGTTGATATGCTCTTCACATTGCACAGTGATTTGAAATTAAACATCCTTAACAAATAATGTGATTATTCAGAAGATTTTAGAGAGCTTAAGAATTTCCAGCATTATTTCTTTCACATTTAGAGAGGCAGTGAATGATGTAGAGTATAAAGGTAGGCTCACTCTTAAATGAACACTTAAATGCAAATATATGATTGTGCACTATGAATCAAAAAAGAATATGTAAAATTTGGTTTCAGGTTATCTTATTCCAAAAGGTTGGAAGGTTATGCCTTTGTTCAGGAATATTCATCACAATCCAGAGTTCTTTCCTCATCTCCAAAAATTTGATTCTTCAAGATTTGAGGTACCAGTTTATTGTACCAACATGTTGGTTAGATCTATAATTTGAAGATTAAGGTTATTTTCATTTATGTTCAATATAGGCTGCTCCAAAACCCAATACATTTATGCCATTTGGCAGTGGAGTACATGCCTGCCCTGGTAACGAATTTGCCAAACTAGAGATGCTCATTATGGTGCACCACCTAGCTTCTCAATTCAGGTGTTCTTCTTAAACTAAAACACGTGACTTCATAATTAGAATGCTGTCTTCTGTTTTTCACAGTAATGTCTTCTTAAGCTAGTTTCAAGTGATGCATTATTTAATATCTGACAGTAGCATTTTGCTGTGTTTGATAATTGTGGTTTTCAGGTATGAAGTGGTGAGACTTGAAAATGGAACCCAGTATGGGCCACTCCCAGTCCATTTACATGGTTTTAATTGGTGGTAAACATTTTGCTTCAGAAAATTAGCATACTTTCTCTTTGCACAATTGATGAAAATGTTGATATTCTCAAGGAATATGAACTATAGAAAATATAGGTATTTAAGGGTATACCGATAATGCATGACGATGAATCGTCGAGACTTGGTTAAGGACTTTTGGGAAATTTCATATATTTCATTGATAACAACTTTACAGCACGAATACTACAAAAAGGTTAGCGTGGCCATGTCTGACAAATGTCAAACATGTGTCGATACTAACACTTTTCGGACATCCTACGGTAATCATTTTTTTTTTTTCTACTAGAAATTGTAAAATTATTTTTAACTTAAAAATTATTTGTAAATAACAAAAAGGAACTCATATTTAAAATGTTTCAACGACAAAAATTAATAACAAGTATAAAGAATTTAATTAACATGTCATGTCAATACGTTTTTGAAAAATTGCGTGTCGATGTGTCTGTATCCGTGCATCATAGGATATCAACAACGTCTATACAGAGAGAAAACAAAATTAGTTTCCTAAGCTTTCCCCTTATGGTAAGCTAGCCATATGATCTTTAAGCTCTTAAAATTTTAACTATAGTAAGATAAAATATAACCATCCTACTCAAAAATATATTGTTGCTTCTCTTTCCGCAACATGTATTACCCGAATTGAGATTACCATTAATAAAATCTCATATTTTGAGTAGGACTAAAACGTTAAAACATTCATTTTATTAGTTTTTCTTCCTATGACAGTGCACCTAATTGATCATACAAACCAGTATAAGAAAAATACTAATAAAACTATTCATTTAAAAAATTTCCTTAAGTAGCTAGAATGCACGAATGGTGCGCTATATATGTATCTTGTCTGTTTTCATACATAAAAATGGCTTCACATTTTATTCTGCTTTCCTATTCTCTTTTAATTCCTTTCAAGTTGGCCAAATAAATATGCCTTTGAATGAAAGCAACGCTAAAATGTTTCAAAATTACGATGAGAAAATTTACAGTGGCTTGGGCGGATATATTGCTTGCTAAGTGATTTATACGAGGCCTCTAACCTATCAGAGGAATACTGGAAATTTAAAGAATTAAGTCCCATACATCTTTGCAGGCCTTCAGAGTACCTGCAATTGTGATGATTGAAAGTAAGAAGCACTCTATACAATTTTTTGCCCTGCTTAACAAGAAGAGAAACCTCAAGAAATACAGATTCTTCT